AGCAACCCTGCATATGAGTACATCAAATGATCTCTTTTTCATAGGCCGCGTTCATAGACAACTATTCGCGATCGCGACTGACGGTGTGCGATTGGCGCGATTATTGGCCTCACATTCGCCGTACGCAGGGCGATGCCGTGTTCGTGAGATTCGTTACGCTGTAGGCCGCATTCGCCAGCCTGTTTTGTCTGCACGCCAGCCATGCTATCCATTGCTGTTCCTCTGTGCAGTGCAACTCATAAGCTGTTTAGTCAAAAGAGGAAAAAATTTCAATGGCTCGTCTTGACCAATCAATCGCCAAACCTGGCGGGAAAGTTGGGTGTTGCTGGAACTACATGAACACGGCACAGACCCCCCATATTGGCGGACATTGGGGTATTGATCGTCCCCATCGCGTTCGCTAATCGCTAATTATGAACGCGCCCTCACTTCTAATATGGCGCAAGCATCAAACAGTTAACAAAACTCGGCAGATTTTTGAATTACCACCTGAATTACATTACATTTTTGCCACAAATACACGTGGTTACGCTACTGCTCAGCCTGTTACAAGAAAACGAGTTTGTGAGGTCACGGATTAGGCTACTTCCCGTGGATAAGCTGAAGCCGAAGTTATCAATAGCTGCCCCACTGAAGGCTTTTACGCATTACAGATATGAGTCATTCTTCAGACACTCCGTAACAGATCAGCAGAAGAGGTACCTGTGAAATCGACGTGACCGGGCGTGTCAATGAGATTGATCCTATGCTTCTTCCAGCCGAAATGTTATTGCAGCAAGCTGTATTGTGATTCCCTAAAAGCAGCTGGAAACTCTTGAAGTACGTTCGCGATTGCATTTCGTTTTTTGAAATGAGTAGATAACAAAGTTAGATAAATAGCAAAGGGTTGGGAATAGGGTTGAAACATATTGCTTATGGTTAGTAAGAAATACTGCAAACCTCGTTCCCGCTCCAAATCCAAAAAATCTGTGACAGTGCTCCCGGAATCGACGTCGCCCATATGGCGGATAACTCCAGCCAAATAGAGCATCCGTTCAGTGAGGGTAGTTTTCCCAGCATCGATATGAGCTACGATACCGATGTTTCGGATATCCAGGGGGCGTGTTTTCATGAAACTTTCTTCCTCCTGAAAAATCACTATCGAAGAGAGTATTTCGAGTCGGTCCACTACCAAAAAGCATACCTTGCGAACGAGTGAGAACCATCGTCTCCAACTTTTCGTTACCGTGCGCAACCGCCATGCATGTCTCATCGGAGCACAGTGGCTAAAAGATGAAAGTAATGTGCTCTGCAATCTGATATATATACACAGCGAGATTATGAAGCCACATGAAGGCGATGACGGCTATTGGCGACTTTTCTTATGGTTAGTATATAAGTACCGATATAAGATTACGAACGAGAACAGCCGATAAAGCATAAGTTACTCCTTTAGCAGAAAAGGCTATACTTGGAAATTTTGAATGTCGTATTTCTGATTTTTTGTGTGCCTGCGATGATGGTAAGGAGATTGTATTCGGAACTTGCGAGGGATAGGGGTGGTACAAGTTGAAGAGCCATGCTGCAGTATGTGTGTGGAGAGAAAGGGATGGTTTATGACGAGTTTTTTGACGACTTTGCTGGAATTTTTTATGAACAAGGCGTGCGTGAAACAGTCGAAATTAGAGCACTTCTATTTCATAAGTCCAGCCCACACCCCCTTTCTTCAAATCAGTTTTGGAGAAAATATGGGATGGAGTTGGAGTGAGTCAACTTGCAGATTTGTGGAAATAGTCGTGGTGGTAAGTGATGGTGGATCGTACTTATGCGTGACCCCAACACGTGTGGTTGTGGGTAGGGGTCTTACCAGACCTACCTAATAAGAGGTCGTAAATTTCAAATTTCTCCCCAACGTCACGAAGTATTCTGGTCAAAATGGAGCTTTCACTGGACAATAAGTGAAGCAAATGAGCAGTCATACTGCATAGGGTAGAGACGCAACTCGCACATACGCGGTATTAGAAACCGCTCTAGAATAGCAATCCCTGCCTCCAAAAAATCTGTGATGAGGTTGTGAAACACCAACAATGTCATGAGGGGGCATTCTCAAATCGCCCCAAATGCTAATTTGATAGACAACTATTCACGTTTCATTGCCGATAACTTTCATAGAGCGTTGCAAGCCACCATTTCAACAGGTTTTCAGTGATTGTATCCGCAAAGCTGACCCAGAGGTGTAACGCTTAATCGTAATCGCAATGAGTTCATTGGTGATTTTATTCCTTCTCGCTGAAAACGAATAAGAGAGGTCTCAGCA